GGAGGACGGAGAAGAGGGGGAAGAGGATGGGGAGGAGGACGGGGAGGAGGGGGAGGAGGATGGGGAGGAGGATGGGGAGGAGGACGGGGAGGACGGGGAAGATGGTGAGTCCCTCCAGGGGACAGGAGGAGGGGGAAGAAGATGGGGAGGAGGACGGGGAGGTCAGGAGTCCCTCCAGGGGATCAGGAGTCAGGTCTGGGTGTAGGGTCAGCTGCAGAGCTGAACTCAAGTTCTCTTCATTAGGCCACACTGCTGCCAAACGCAATCATGGCGGAGCTCGCGCCCCGTGGTGGCATCGCCCGGCCCCCTTGAGCCGAGGAGACAAATCTCACCTGGCTTGTGTTTGTTTTGCCCCTGCCCCAGGCTCGGCCCAGGGTCTGCCAGTCTGTGCCTCAGACCGCAGGGTCACGCCTGCACCCCACCCAGCCCAGCGAGAGTGAAGGATGCACAACACGCTTCTCCACGGCCGCGCCATAACCGTGCGTGAATCCCGCCGTAAGAAGGCGCAAGTAAGCACCCTGGTTACCCAGGGTGGAGGCCGAGGATCTGGGCTCTAAGCACCCGGCAGCCGAGCGCCGCCACCCACGCACGACTCAGTGTCAGCGGGGTCACCCTGTCGGTCACGCACCGGCCTAGGCCCGGGGGACGCGGCAGCCGGCAGAGCCAGCCCCGGCCCTGCAGCCGCTGGCACACGAGGGTGAACAGGGCGGGGGGGCCGGGTGCGGGGTGCCCGGGCAGCCTTCGGGGGGGTGACGAGGGGTCTGCCGGGAAGAGGGCGGCCTGCGCCCTGCGGGCCTCACCTGCTTCCGGTCCTCACAGGGCCCGCTCCGCCTCTGGGCCAGCAGCTGGGCAGCTTCCGGCCCCCCACCACCCAGCTGTTGGATGGCCATGACCCCGGGCCCGGCTGCCCGGCAGGACTGAGGTGCTGGGGGTAGGAGAGGGGGGTAGCTGTCACCGGGCAGCTCTCAGGGTCCCTCTGATGTCACAGAGGGAGGAGCAGCCAGGCCCTCCCGCCTGGGCCTCCCTCCCAGGGAGGGAGGGAGGAAAGGAAGGGAGGGAGGGAGGAAGGAAGGAAGGGAGGGAGGGAGGGAGGGAGGAAGGAAGGGAGGAAGGGAGGGAGGAAGGAAGGAAGGGAGGGAGGGAGGGAGGA